CAGAGCGGGGAACAGAACAGGCAGATCTATGAAGTACACTGCTGAGGGGAGCAGCGGGCGGGTCAGGAGAGGTCTGCCGCGCCCTGTGGGTCACCCCCTTGGCCGGCCAGGCCAGGATCAAGCTGGTGCTGAGGCAGCGGTGGTCAGCTTTGTAGTGCTGTGCTTTGACTGTTGCGTCACCAGGGAGGGTGACGCTTTACTATTTTATTTTTTCATTTCTTCTTCTTACTTTCTTATGTCGTTGTCATTTCACGCGTCATTTTTGCGCAGGGCTTGATTTCTCCCCTCTGGTGTAGCCCGTGACCCTCCCACCACCACAGCCCCTGTGACCCATCGCCATAGCCTCTCATGCTCTCCCCTCTCTCTTGAGCCCTGGCCTTCCTCTTCCTCTGCTGTAGCCTCATACCTATGGTTTGCCTGCTAGTTTGATCTTTTTCCTGATCCTGTGTCAGGTCTCCCTATATTTCCCTTGTGATTTTATCTTTTGAGATTCTGACCTCCGCCCCCACTATGCTGCATGGGCTCCCCTCCTCCTGGGGCGGTGTCCCAGCACACTGGGGTGGCCAGGGCAGGCGTGCGGACACCCAGGTCGAGGGATGGCCCTCACTCCCCACTGTGCACTGGCCCCTTGACCCTGCATCAGGCCCTCCACACTGCACCCAGCCCTTGGGAGGCATCAGTGGGAGGCTGCAGTACAGCAGTGTTTTCTCCACCGTGGGGCTGCTTAGCCATTTTGTGGTGCAAGGCGGCCCATCCTCCTCTGTCCCTCAGCCCAGGGTGCTGCTGCGGCGCCGTGACCGCTTCAGCCCATTTACTTTTCAGTTCTCCCAGCACCTGTTTCCAAGTCCCTGTACTGCTGTCCTATGACCCCTGACTGGGTTTTGGGTCCGGTAGAGGTCATTGGTCCAGACGCCATGATCCCTTGGGGCCACCATTTGAGAAAAGCACCTCCCTGAGGCGAGGGGTCTTTGCCACTGGTGTCTCGAAGGGATCTATGCTGGGCTCTGGGCCTTTGTGTCCGGGAAGTGAGTGAGTCATCACAGACTGGGACCTCAACCACCTCAGGCAGAAGTAAGTCAGACCGGGATGCATGAAGAAGAGGGAGAAATCTCTAGAAAATGAAACATTCAATAAGGAGGAAGACTGCCACTCTCCAGCTTCTAGGCCTCCCACGCCTGAGCAGCCTCTAAAGGTAATGCCGGCCCCTCTGCCTGAACAGCCACAGGAGAATGCTTGGGTGAAGTGAAGCTCCTACCCTCCTGCTCAGCCTCAGAGCTGAGACAGTGGAAGGCAGTCCCCTACAAGTGGGGGTTGGGGGGTGTAGTTCCAGCTCAACCAGCAGGGAAAGATTAAAATAAGGTAGAGGGGTAAGTGTCCCAGAAAGCCAAAGTGGGAACTGCCGACGTGGTTCTGGGACAGGTGGGAGCAAAGACCACTGGGAGGAGTCAGATGAGAAAGGCGGCAAAAAGGATCAAGACTCCCGATTTGCACCTGAGCCACAGAAACGTGAAGAAAATCCAGACTCCAATTCAGTCTCTCTGTTGATGGTGAAGATGAACATGAGGGCCATGACACTGAACGGACCTCTACATCTTGTGCTTTCTCCTAGTCTCTCTCCACCCTGGAACATTCGAGAGCAAATCAAACTTCTATCCAGCCACGATAAAATAAAACTCACCATCTCCTGGGAAACCAATAAACAAACAAAAAAACCCCACACAGGCTCCGCAATACCTCTGAGGCCCTAGGGCTCTGTCAGGTGCTGGGGCTCCCAGGAGGGACCCACTCCTGGGCAGGGCCTTATGCTGGGCCTGGACCACAAACAGTGCAAGCTTTTTCCTGCCCGGGAGGGAGGAGGCAGCTCGGGCCCAGTTCCTAGAGGAGCAGGCTGGGGTATGGGGGTGCCAGGGGGATGCAGCCTCATATGGCGCCTCAGCTGTGGTCTCACCTGTCCTCCACATGGCTACTGACACCCTGTTTCACACTCGCCGAGTCTTTGCTGTGCTGATCCTCTACCTGGAATGGCCTGGGTCACTTCTCAGAATTCCACCCATGTTTTGGCTTTCAGTGAGGCTGCCCCTGCCTTCCTGGGCCCAAGTGTAGGCTCCCACACACAGGCTGCCTTGCCAGGACAGACTTCTCACCGGTGGGGGTGTCTCACTCCTGGCTCAGTGCAGAGACACACAGGGACGCAGGGTGGCAACCTGCCCTGCCTTCCTTTATCTGCAGAGGAAAGTACCTGCCCCGTAGCCAGGGGACTGGCCCTCAGGTCACCCTGACTGAAGCTGGGAGCCCAGAGAGATGGGGGAATCACAGGAGGCTGTGTTGGAGCGGCAGGAAGCACCCCCTCCTCTAGAGGCTTCGGGGAAACAATCCCCGGCACCCCTCTCCCCCCCAGCCCCAATCCCTCACAGCTGCTTTTTGAATTGACCCTTAGTGCATGTTTCCCTCCTCCTTCAGACTGGACACCTGATCTCCCGATTCTCCTGAGGCTCTCTGCTAACGGCGAGGGGGTGGGTAGGCCGGAGTTTGAACCCAGCTGGATGTCCTGCCTTGTGTTAGCTCTCAGACTCTCGAACCCCTGAAGCAGGAGGATGGTCCAGTCTTCTCAGCTAAGGGGAGATGCAGAGGTGACCTTAGCAAGGACCTTGCCCACCACTAGAGTTCCTGCTCCAGGCAGGGCTGACCTCTCAAAGGTCTGGGTCCCAGGCAGAGGACAACTCTTGCTCCTACCCTCTGCTGCCCCTGTGTGGTCACTTACAACACTGCAGCCCAGTTGGGCCTCCACTCGCCACTGCCCACTCACAGTTCTCCATCTCCTGGGCCCCCACCTCCATCACCAGCTGGGCCTGACCCTGCTGCTGAGCCTGAGCCCCCACCTGCCTCAAAGGTGCCAGCCTCCAAGCATGCCTTTACCACTGTTTCTGGTCTGAGCTGACTCCTCCCCGATGGCCCCCATTGATCATTCTCACTACGAACCCCAGCTCCCAGCCATTATGCTTGCACACATTGCCCTTCTCTGTGCCAGCTGCCTGGCCTTGGAGGAAGGGCATGGCTTCGAGTGGGCAGTGTTGGCAGGGGCCCCCAGTACCTAGTTTCCGGACATCTTGGCTGAAGGGCTCAGGGACCTGGAATTCGGGTCCTTGTAAGAGGACTTGGCCACAGCACTAAAAGTGACAGGCTTTGGAGCTGTGCCAGGGTAGGGTGGGGGGTCAGGCCTGGCCAGTGAGCTTCCAGGTGTGTAATGGGAGGGCAGGCATCCCATCTCCTGGACACCCAGTGTGAAACCCCAAGGTGGACCTTCCTCCTGACCCCTCCCCCAGGGGACCGCTGTTCCCCATCCCACTCCACAGATGGAGAGACAGAGTCTGGGGAGGGGTCTGTTCCAGGCACCTTGGCTATGGATGAGTGAATCAGACGTGGGTAGCTTTGGATCCTACAGGGCAACCATGGAACTCTCCAGAATTGAACCCCAGCATAAACACCAAGACATGAGGACAGCGACACCACAAGCTTATTTTCTCTTTCTATAGGCAAAAGAGGGATTTCAAGTTACTTTCCAGAAGACGTAAAACTATAAGTCTAGAACACAAAGGTGACCTCACATTCAGGACCTGAGGTCTCTCCGCTGCTGGGTCCATGCAGCCTGACCAGGGATCAGTCCTGAGCTCCTTAGTGGCAACCAGGTCTCAGTACATCAGGGATCATGGGATCTGAGGTACTGGCATTGGAGTATAGGTATAGGGAGGCCGGGGCTCTGGTGTGGGCACTGAAATTCAAGGGTGTGGAGTGCTGGGTCTGGGAATTGGGGAGCAGAGCTCTGAGTGCTGGCCTCAGGAGCTGCACAGTCAGAGCCTGGGGTCAGGGGCCTGGAATTTGGGTCCTTGTCAGAGGACTTGGCCATGGCCCTGAAAGTGACAGGCTTTGGAGCTGAGCCAGGGCAGGGTGGGCGGCCAGGGCCAGGTCCAGGTAATGTGACAAAGCTGGGCACTGGCCTTGGGTCCTCAGGCATTGAGGGCTCAGGTATCAGGCATCCAGATCCCACGGATGGGGTGTAGGGACCTGGGGATCCAAGTCTGGGGAGAGTAGGCCTTTTTCCTGGGAGGCTGGTTGTTGGCCTCCTGCCCCAGGTGCTCAGGGCTGTGAGCTCCAGCGGGTCCTGCGACAGAGACAAGGTCTTGAGCAGGTGTGATGGAAGGCGCATGGGTCCCAGATGGTTGGCGTGAAGAGGTGGGGTCTCACCTGAGGCTCTTCCTGTGTCGCAGCAGCATGTACAGCAGCACGGCCCCTCCCACCACGGCCAGCCCCCCGAAGATGATACTCAGCAGCACCGTGTAGCTCCGGCCTCGAGAGAGAAGGCATCGAGGGTGGGGACATTCAGCAGTGAGGAGGCAGGCAGGCCAGGGGTGGGTGGGCGGGTGTCAGGTTGGCAGGGGTCCTCACCTGGTTCGCAAGTTGGGGTGAGCCTGGACCAGGTGCCATCACTCTGGCAGATGCTGGCCCTCGCCCCCACCAGGCTGTAGCTGCTGTCACAGTTGAAGTGGATGGTGGAGCCTGCTAGATACCTGATGCCCTCCTTGTGCCCATTGTGGGGTGGGGCCAGCCAGCCACAGGAGACCACTGGAGCAGGGGGCAGGGAGTGGATGACAGACCTGAGTCTCCGGCTGCCGCCTCACCACCTGGGCCCAAGAGCTCTGTGCTGCCCGTGCAGTCTCCCCTCTTGGCCCACACCTCCTGCCACCCTTACCTGGCTGCAGGCTCTGCACGAGCCACTGGTGCCACTGATGGGCCATCCGTGTGGCGTTGCCCACGTCCAGGCTCCCAGTGGCCACCGCGTCAAAGCTGCAGAAATAGTCGTCCCCACACAATTTGGTCACCTCAGTTCCTTGGCCTGGGTTGAGGGATATCTCCTCGGGGAAGAGGGGCTTGAAGGTGGGATCGTGCTTGGGCCCATAGAGGAATGCCTGGACCAGGTCCACGGAGTCGTAGGTGAGCAGGGATGAAGTGTTCTTCACAGCCCCTGGGGACGCACATGGCAGGCCTGGCTGGTGGCCAGGAGCCTGGGGTCTCCCGCCCCCCACTCCACTGTGACCCTGCCCCCACCGTGTCCCCAGGCCCTGAGCGTGCTCACAGTGCTCACTCACAGTGAGCTCCGAACTCAAATATCTCTCGGGAACTGGCGTTGGAAGACAAGACCTTCCCATTGGGCAGGGTGAAGTCATCTGTGGGGTCACCGTTGAGGGTTCCCAGGAGGCCTTGTGTGTGGTTAAGGAACTTCTCAGGCAGCAGGACGGACACACTCAGGAACTGGCCCCGGATGCTGACCTCCAGACCAGCTCCCGATGACAGCATGACCGATACTTTGTCTTCATTTGCCACTGACAGGAACATGCCTTGGCGCAGGTGGAGGAGGCAGTCAGGTATGACCCCTGACCCAAAGACCCTGCATAGGTGGGCCAGAGCCCCGGGAGTTTGGAGGAAGTGGAGGTATCCCCAGGACAGCCCTGCTGTGTGTTACTCCACCCGTGGAACCCTCACCCATGCTGGGCCCCTCAGCTGGATCCCTGAGATGCCGAAGGACACCCCCCCCACACTGGAGGCACTCGTGGGAGTCTCCTGCCAGCCCCCCACCCCGAAAGTGGGAGGCACAGCCAGGCCTGCTTCTGCCCTTCCTAGGCACCTGCAATCTCAGCGGCAATAGACCTGTGCCACCAACTGCAATAATCCGTTCTTTAGTTCCCTAAGCAGTGCCAGCTCCCCAGCCCTCGGGGCTGCCTGACAGCACTGTCGTCCTGTTCTAGACTCTTCCGTCCTTTCTGTACTCTCACCAGATGCCCAAGTGAAGAATTCTACAAGGACACGAAGGTGTGAGATGGGACTGGGCTGCCGGGCTCCACCCTACTACCTGAGGCCCGAAACCACTTGTGCTAACAGACAGCCAGAGGCTGGAGACACCTGAGCATTGGGCTTGGCCTCCGCGTGGGGTAGAGGGCAGAGGGGCTTACTGCTGCCCCACAGCGGCCCCGGGAGGCATCCGTCTGGACACCACACATCCTCCTACAGGGCTGGGTGGGAGTGAAGGTGCCCCCCCACCCCCTTTCCAGCCGCCCCACTCACCCTGCAGGTCCATCCAACTCTGCTCGGTGAAGTTGAGCACCTGCTGGTTCAGCAGCACCTGCAGGACGCTGGCAGCCAGCCGGACCTCCACCATGTCCGAGTCCCCCTCCTGGACGGCCACGGCCACCAGCCCTGTGCCCCTTATCATGGGACCTGGGGTGGTGGGTAGATAACAGGGCTGGAACAATCCATTCTCGGTTCCCGAGGCAGCTCCAGCACCCGGCCCTCAGGGCTGCCTGACACTTCGCTCCCACCTCCCCCACGAGTTGCCCCCAGCCCCCCTGAGCCCCCAGCCTTACCGTGGGTTGCCGTCCTATTCTGGGTCCGTCCCTGCACCTGCAGTTGGGTGAGCTCCGCCTCCAGCAGCACATACTCTCCCTGCCCGTTGAATGTGAAGTTGGCACCATCAAAGGTAATGATGTGTGGGTCCCCAAAAATGGAAGCTGAGGGGGGCAGAGGGTCAGGTGGGCTGCCGGGGCCTGGCCCGGCCCCCCGGCCCCCGCCGGCACTCACCCACGCGAGGGGGCCGATAGCTGCGGCAGTCGCTGGAGGGCCGCCGCCGCATGTAGCGAGGGCACTCGGGGGCCCAGAGGCAGCAGTAGTAGAAGCTCATGACGTCGTAGAGCCAGTGGGACAGGCCGGGCACGCGGGGCGGGGCACGGAACGGGGGCGCCCCCCAGTCGTGGCCGCGGTCTGGGGTGCTGCCGCTGGTCGAGTCGGCTGTCAGGAGCTGCGTGCCCTCCTTGGTGTAGCAGCACTGCTGGCCCGAGCCGTACTTGGGGCTGGGGGTGCGGACAGGTCAGGGCTGCCACAAACCCCCACCCCGCGCCCCCCCACTATCTGGGGCCTACCTGGCTTGCACGGAGCGCACGCAGTGGATGGCCCCCGGGTGGTAGGTGCACACGCTGCCGTGGTCCATGTCGCAGCCGTAGTCCGTCTGCAGAGTGGCCCGGTGCGGTCACCCTCCCGGGCTCTGCCAGCTCCTCCCTGAGGGGCGACCCGGCCCCTCACACCTGAGCCCCACCTCCCCTCCCATGGTTCTGCACCCCCCTCCGCCCCCCATGGCTGTCCTGAACACGTGGCCTGTGAGGGGGCGCTCTCCCCACCCAGGGCCCTGCCTGTGCTGGAGGCTCACATGAAAGCGGCCGGAGTCAGCCCGGGCCTGGGTCAGGGTGCAGGGACAGTCGGGCAGTTCTTCCAGGAAGTTGGGCAGCTGGTCCTCCAGCTCCTCCCAGGCCAGGCACTGAGCCCTGGCCCAGGCCACGGGGTCCTTCCGGAAGTCTTCGCTCAGGTGCCAGGCCAGGGCGTGCTCGTTGCTCCAGAGTGAGTGCACATCCCTACAGGGGCACGGGAGCACCCTGAGAATGGGCCCTGCCCCCCCCCACCCCGGGTCCCTGCCACTGGCGGCAGGGCAGCGTCGGGGTGAGCCTCGCAGCCCTTACTTTTCTCCCTCGGAGTGTCTGCTGCTGCTGATACGAAGCGCACCCACTTTCCATCGCTGGTACATTTGAGCCGCAGGTTTTGGAACGAACGTAAAGGTGCCAGAGTTGGGGATGTTTTTGGCCAAGGAGTACAGGTATGACCAGTGAGCTGTCCACTCACTTGAGTATGGCTTCCCTGAGGGAGAGAAGGCCACAGTCAGCCCTGGGCCCCTCTCGGGCCTCTGGGGCAGAACAGCTGGGCGACAATCTTCGGTGCTCAGAGGAGCCTGATGGACGGACAGATGGTTGCTGGGGATGCGCCTGCCCTGCAGCTCCAGCAAGGACCCACTGAGGGTGCCCCACCCACCCCCCAAAGTTCCCTTCTTCCTTCGCCTTGCTTGCTTGCAAATCCTCACTTGGGATTTCCTCCCACCTGGAACTCCGTCTCCCATCTCTGCAAGCTCAGTGTTCCTGACCCTGCCAAGCCCCAAGGAACCAGCTGGCATTCCATGGTCTGTCCAGCCCCCAGTCGACCTCACCTTCTTCCTCGTAGCCCCACAGTTCGATGTTGACGCCTTGCGCAGGCAGGGCCTCGGTGCTCCAGTTCAGGGTGAGCTCACCCGTGGTGTTAGCGGTGCCGTAGTATTGCCAGCGGGTCTCATTCACCAGCTGGCTCTTCTCTGTCTGGGACACTTTGCTGGGGTGCACTGGGTGAAGTGAAGGCGAGGAGAGAGTGGATGAGGGCCTGGGGCTCAGTGAGGAAGCCCAGGGAATCTGAGAGCTGCGGGGGCCTCTCAGAGACAGAGCCTGGCAAGTGAGCCATAGCCCACTGGACCTGCAGGAAAGGGCAGAGGCCCCTGCCCACTGTTGCCCAGGCTTTTGGTCACTACCTGGACCCTCCCCTCCCCTGGCCTGGCTGGCCCATCCTGCTGGGGGAGTGTCCTGCCCATTCCTTCTGGGCTGGGGCTCCTGTCTGGATGCCAGGGATGCAGAAAGGAGTCGTGGAACTGTGCCTCTGTCGTCCCTCCCGAGGGACTGGTTCAGCCAGAGAGGCAGGGCAGAGTGTGGGAGGGCCAGGTGTTCCTACACGACACTGGGGAAAGTCCCTGTGGGGCCCAGGGCCTGGGGAGTGCGAGGTGTGGTCCCCCTGGCTTGAACCTGTGAGATAGGCTCACCAGCCAGCCAGGTGCCCGAGCGTGGGAAAGAGATGCCATTGTCCATCGAGACTGTGAAGGGGATGCGGCCGGTCTCGTAGAGCAAGGGAGATACACAATGTACGCGTCCCTGGTTGTCTACGTGACCGAGGGTCTCGATGCGCTCATTGAACCTGCAGGGGGGAGGTGTCAGCAGAGTCTAGGCCAGGGTGGGCAAAGCGCCCAGGTATCTGGGCTCCTGGCCTCCCAGAGGACCCATGCAGCCAGCCGCCCCTCCTTGGTCTGAGATGCTCAGCTCAGCCCAGCCAGCCGGGGGTCTGGGCCTCAGCATCCCTGCATCCCTGGCCATGGGTCCCTCAGGCCTCCCACCTGCAGATCACGCCTTTGGCGGAGCTGTCCCAACGGAGGTGTTGCACCATGAAGTCCTTGCCCCCCATCAGGGAGCCTGAGTAGGGTGTAACCTCCAGGCAGAAGAGCAGGAAGTCAGAGCAGCAGTTCTGCAGACCCTTGCAGGTTGGATGGCAGGAACACAGCTCACTCTGCTCCCCACAGCGATGGGAGCAGCTTCCCAAACCTGGAGGACAGGGCCCTGAGCGCCAGCCCCTGGGAGGGCCAGACTGGGCGTCCACGTGCAGGACCCCATGTTTACTTCCCACAGGACCATTATTAGGGAGAAGCATCTCCTGGAGACTGCACTGGCCGCATGTGACCCGAGCTTGGGCACAGGAAACCCAGAGGGCCCATGGGGTGGGGAGTCACTATAGACAGTCTAACACTTGGCCTCAGTGAGCAGAGCTGAGGGGAACGGCCTCCAGGTAAACCACTTTGCAGTCTCAGGAGCCTCCAAGCTATGACTGACCCTCAGCCACCAAGTTGTGCAGACCTGTCTCCATTCCCTCAAGTGGGCCCGCGGCCTACAGAAGGCCGACAGGGGCTGGTGCCCAGCAGGGCTGAGCTGGCCGGTCTCCCTCTGCCCAGCAGCACCTGCAAATTGATTGTCCTACCCTGGTGGGGAGGGGAAGAGAAGGTGAGAGCCCCCCCCCCTTAGGCAAAAGGAGGAGCATTTCAAGCAGGACAGTAGGGCCAGGAGCGGGGGGACAGTGGTTTGGAGGGGGCTGTGTACATGAGGACCCTTTCCCACTAAGGGGACCTGGGGGTGTTCTTATGGGCTCTGTCTGCCAGAGCTGGTGTGGTGAATGGGTGGGTTGGAAGATTCAGACTGGGGCGGCGCACAGGTCCTGAGGTTGGAGCTGTGTGCCCCACCTAGCTCTTCTCTGCCACTTTCGACTGGGGCCAGTCAGGAGCCAGACCTGGCCTGAACCACCTCCTCCACGCAGTAGGGGATCTGGCTCTTGGAAGTTTCAATAAATATTTGTTGCTGAGAATGTGATTTTTCAAGGGGCTGGGGGAGGAGCTGAGTGACACCGGTGAGTGAGATCAATCTGGGGCCACCCAGGAGGGTGTAGATGGGGAATGGGGGGGCCGGTACAGGGGCGGGTCCTGGAGGTGGGGGTGGGAGGTGCTGAGGAGGAAGGGGAGGGTCTGGAGACAGCCAGCCCGGCCCAGTCTGGGGCCCAGGCCCTGGCTCTGTAGTGTAGGACTTCCCTTGGAGTTTCTAGGTTCCGTTCTGCCTGGCGAGGGCACCATCCTGCCTCTGGTCGGGCAGGGGGCCCAGTGGGGTTGGAGGACCCCGTGGCGAGCAGCGGTCAGGGTTGGGGCGAAGGCCAGGCCTTTTCGGGGCCAGCCACCCTCCCAGCCACCGCCCTCCCAGCAGCTGCTATGGCCCTGCTCCCAGGCAGTTTAGGCCACAGCCCAGACCCCTCATCCACACCAGTAGATTTTGGGCCTAGGTCCCCGTTATCATTCTTCCCACCGCCCCCAACACGGTCACAGATGGCCCAGCAAAAGGACAGAGGCTGAGCCCAGAGGCTGTCCGCCCCCTGGTCTGGCAGCAGCAGGCAGGTCAGGGCTGAAGCCACAGTGTGGGGCATACCTGATGCGGGCTGGGGGCCTTGCCCAGGGGCTGATGCCAGGAGCAGCAGGGCCCAGTAGAGGACGGGCAGCGTCATGGCTCAGTCTCATCAGCCGGCACAGCAGGGACTGGGAGGCTGCGATCTGGCTCCCTCCTTACATCCTGGCCCCGCCCCTGCCGGATCCTCTGAGAGGCTGCCCCGCCCGCACCAGCTGACCCCGTCCCCTCTCAAAGTCCACAGGTGTGCTGGGGCTGACTTGCCCAGTTAGCACATTCCTGGTCCAACAGGCCTGGGGCAAGGGGGAGGGGGCCAGAGCTCCCAGTTGCTACCCCCCAGGCAGCCCGGCAGGGCTCCCTCAGGAGACCTGAGCGATGCTGCAGGGTAGGTATAGGTGGGGTTCTTTTGTTTTTTGGTTTTAGGTGGGTTCCTTAAGATACCAGGCTTCCGATCCCTGGGGCCCTTCTGCCCTATTCCCAGTCTCCCTGCAGGGGGCAGGTAGTCCCAGTTCCTCCCCACAGCTTGGTAGGGAGATTGAGCAAATAGCTTCTAACTGCAGCCCATGTGTGGGTGCTGAAGCACTCTATGCTGCTGCAGGAACCTGGCCCCTGGCATCACGGTGTCTCCCCAGCAGCAGCTTCTCAGGGTTTTTGAAGGTAACATTCCCTGGCGTCACAGGAGCTGGAGTTGGCTGGGGCATGAATGTAAGCCGTCTCAGCTGGCTCCTGTGGCCCTGGCCAGCCCTTGGACCCTGGTGGGCAAGGCTCTTCTTGCTCTGAGAGGTTGGCTCGTACAGCTGTCAAGGGACGCTGGTTTGGGGGTTTGGGAACCACAGGGTGGCTGCAGCAACTCTGGACTAAGGAGCAGTCTGCGGCACAGTCTGGTGCTAATGTAACAGGGTGGTCCCCGGGTAAAGGGGAAGTTCCAGGTTCCCTGCCCCACCCAGAAGGGGGGAGCTAAGCAGAGAAAAGAAGAGAAGGAATCTGAGGAGGAAGGAGGCAGGATGGAGAGCAGGAGGAGACCTGGGGAAGCCACTTGGAGCAAAGGGAGATGTGAAGAAGCCATGTTTATTTCTTGGCCCGGGACTGGTGGAAAGAGATGTGGGTGTAGCCCGTGGGGAGGTGACTACGGCAGTGTCTATCTTGATTTTGATTTTGCTCTTTTCCTCCCAGACTTGTCAGGCTATGTCTGACCCATTTAAATGTGTCCCGGCCAGAAGGTGCTTTAGTCTTGTGGCGGACTTTCAGGCCCTGCTTTGGGCCAATCCCTTTTGGGTGTACTTTTACCTACGAGGGGATGGGTAACTTCGGGTGTTTGATCTACAAATTATATTCTTTGTCTTCCATGTTGTATAGTCAGTGTATTAAAGTTCCTTTCATTAAAGTCTTATATGTTTATCTTGATGGGGCTGATGGCAGAACCTATTTAGAGCAGGCAGGTTTGAGGGCTCACTAAGACTCATCTCAGGGGCAAGAGTGCTCCCTATAGCACACATTAGGGAAAGAAAATGATTGAAATGCTCCTGGGCGGGTTCAAATGTCCTGAGGGCTCACTGGGCACATTCCTGCCACAACAGGAGAGGCTCTGAGGGGAGAGGGGCTGCAGAGCTGAAGGAGGGCAGGGTGCCACTCCCTCTCCCTAGCCAGGCGCTCTGGTGCTCTGCTATTTGTATTAGAAGGCTATTAGAAGGCGGAGAACCTAAGGCTGCAGCTAGCTGGGGAGAGGGGGTGAGCTCCACACTCCAGGTCCTGCAGGGGAGGGATGGGGAGCAGCTGGTCACCCGGCCCTGGGACCACCTTGGTAGAGTCTGAATCAGCACAAGTTCACAGGAGCCATCCCAGGTCACCATACCTCTGTGTCTTCCTGGCTGTCTCTTAAGCTTTTCTTTTGAGGGGCACAGGTGAAAAAAAGGTGGTGTCCCTGCACCCTCATGTTTATTGCTGCTTTATTCACAATTGGAAAGACATGGAAACAGCCCAAATGCCCCAAAATGGATGACTGGATTACAAAGATGTGGTACATGTACACAATGGAATATTACTCAGCAACCAAAAAAAAATAAACACATGTCTTTTGCAGCAACATAGATGGAGCTGGAAGGGATCATGCTTAATGAAATAAGCCAGAAAGAAAAGGAAAAATACCGGATGGTTTCACTTATAGCAGGAGTACAACGGACCAGGTGAGAAAATAATAATAATGAACAGCTATATGCCAGAGACATTTCATGGGGGTGGAGTGGGGAATGGGATCAAAAATGGAGGTGGGGAGAGGGAAGTGCCCTGGACTATGGTGATGGCACATGGATGATTTGGTGATGGTAAGTCCACGGGGATTACAACTGAGATGGAAAAAGGCACAAAATGATGTAAAAACAAACTATCACATTATTAAAAACAAATGAATGAATAAAAAGGGTGTCCATCTCTATCCCTGACAGAGGGACTATACAGGGGAGACCCTGGGAGGACAGGGGCCAGCCTAGAGCTGTGAGGCCAGCAACTGGCCCCAGTGGTGGTGACAGCTGTAAAGAACAAGCTGAGGCCCCTACACATGGGTGTGGAGCCCGAGAGGGCAGGGCCGGCCAGCACTGCAGGCTTGCTTGATATTCTGCTGTCGCCTTTTAAAAAGTCTTAGATTTTGGATAGAGGCCCTGTATTTCATTCTTGCGTTGAGTTCTCAACTTAGTGACTGACCCTGTCAGAGGGTGGGGAGTGTGGTGGGAGGCCCAGGCCTAACCTTTCCCAGCACACACTTCCTGGCACAGATATCCAGCCCCAGGGTTCCCGTCACCTTGTAGCACCATCCAGCTCTTCACCAAGGCCTGGATGCTTCTTGTCCCCCTCCACCCCCATCCCAGGGGAATTCAGGCTCAAATTTCTGCATTCTTAAGGGAACCCTCCCTCAATCCCAGTTTGACTCCAGCCTGTGCTCACATCTCACCCCACTGACCCCCATCCTAACCTGCTTCCTGGGAGCCTGAGGCCTGAGCCCCAGCCCCAGCCCTCAGGATGAGCAAAGAGGTAAAGACAACTGTTCCACTTTATTAGAAAAGAAACCAAAAAAGGGAAGGTGGGGTGAGCCCAACCCTAAATGAACCCTCCACTGTGACACAGGTAGAGCCCAGCTTGTCCAAGTGTGCAGGTGTGGACACGGTCACCTGTGCTGGATGTAGGCTTGTTACAAAGTTTTTCCTGCTGTGCAAACTGTGACCTCATAAGTCTTCCTGCGGCTGGTCTTGGAGTCCTCTGGGCCCCATGCGGTGGGCACAGCCCCAGGCCCAGGCAGGCAGGGCAGGGAGGGTGCCACATAGAGGGAGGCTGGGCAGATTGATGGGCTGAGTGAGGAAGGGCGTCCCATGTGGGTTCTTGGCTGGGGCCCAGCAGTGACCAGGCTGAAGTAGGCAGGTGGCCCCATCCCTCAGATGTCCATGTAGTCATCGTCCTCATCCGTCTCACTCTCCAGCGAGGACTCCTGGCTCGAGGTCTCCAGGATCTCCAGGGCTGGCTGGCACAGGCTCTCCTTTCTCACGTTGGCAGCTGACTGGGCAGACAGGATGGCTGACTGCAGAGACAGGCAGGGCACTGGTCAGGGATGTGGGTCAGGCCCCAGAACCCCTGTGGCCTGCGGCCCTCCCGCCCCCCCCCCGGCCCATGCTCTCCCCACCCGACATCACCTTCAGCTTCTGCTTGGTCTCCTCCGAGATGCTGCCTTTGGGCGAGAGCAGAGTCGGGGTGGGTGGTGTGACGGTGATCTCAGGGGGAAACTTGGTGGCAGCCGAGGGGATGACCAGCTTTGGCATATTGGGCAGCAGGCGTGACTTGGCCCTGCCCGGTTCTGATTTGCCTGGAGGGTCCTCAGGCGGCTGGGCACCCCCACTGCCGGGGACCTTGGAGCTGGAGACTGTGGGGTGGATCGTGGGGGCTGAGTCCAGACTGCAGCCTCTTGGGTCTACCTGCCCCTCCCCAACTCTGGCCTCAGTTCCCCCTTGGAAAGAGAAGCTCCAAGAACCCTTCCTCCCTGCTGTGTCAGACCACTGGTGCCTTCTCCCAGACCTTTCTGGACAGACCTGGCAGGCGCCAGGTCGCTTCCTGTCTCTCAGTTGCCTCCCTGGCTGTTTGTTTCTGGCTCTGGGTCATGGGGCATGGGAACTGCCCCCTCTGCCCCAAGAGCACTGCGTGCTCTGGGAACCCAGAAGCTGGGAGACAGGCGGGACCCCTGCGCCTTCCCAAGGATTCCGCAGGCCCTCAAGGCACTAACTAGAGTAACCATGCTATATCCCCCAACTACCCTAGTGTGTTCACATAGCAGGGCGAGCTGCAGGGCCCAGAGCCCATGGTGCCCACTGTCCCCAGGCTTCAGGGCCAGTGCTGCCTTTGCTGGTGCCTGGAGGCAGCAGTTCCAGGATCAGCAGCGTCCTCCCGGGAGCTGGCCGAGTGGGCGCCACCCTGCCCTGGCCTGTCTCCACATTCCTCCGCAGCCCATGGCTTTAAAAGGAGCGGGGCTTGCTGAGAGCCCATGCCTGACTCCCCGGGGCTGGCACTAGTCCCTGTTTTCCTGAGTGGGGTCTACAAGAGGCCCCAGGCCTGAGGAGCCCCTGAA